GGAGGATCTGTGGGTCTACCGCACGCTGCTCCAGGCGATCGCGAACACCAACGAGGCGACCGGCGCCACGCGTCGCGACCGCGCCGCGATCCCGACCATCATCGAGATGAAGGTTGGCCGCGCCGCGAGTCAGAGGGACACGGCCCAACTCGTTCCGCCTGAGACGAGCGTCTCCTCAGGAAGTGAATTCGGCGGCGGCGGTGACTTCGGTCGTGGCGGCGGCGGCGAATTCGGCGGCGGCGGAGAATTTGGTCGCGGCGGCGGTGGTGGCGAGTTCGGCGGCGGGGGGGGCTTTGGCGGACGGGGCTCATTCGAAGAGGGAGGGACCGAGGGCGCCGATCCCAATACCGCCATGCTGGCCGGACGTTACCTCGGCGACGACGGCAAGCCACGGACGGACGTCCCCGCCGACCTCAACTTCGGCGGTGAGTTCAAGCGACTGCCGGTGCGGATGGTCCTGGAGATGGACACCAAGTGGCTCGGCACGCTTATGTGGGAGCTGGCGAACGCCCCCTTGCAGGTGCAGGTCGAGCAGGTCCGCTTCAACCCCGAGGGTGAAGCTGGCCAAGCGGCGCGCGGATTCGCAGGCGGTGGCGAAGTCGCCGCTTTCGATCGGCGTCCGACCAAGGGGACCGTCATCCTGCACGGCATCGTGTACATTTTTAACCAGCCCGATCCGTCGATCCTGCCGTCCGAAGGGGCGGACGTGACCGACGCGATGGCGGCGGTTGAGTAACCCGAATCTTTCGACCCAACCCGTCGCGGGGCCTTGTCAGGCGGCCCCCACCAACCCACACGGAATGCGGCATGGCCGGGAACAACAAAGGCGGCGGCATCAAGCAGCTCGCCATTCAGCACGTCGAAAAAGTGGTCGCTGTCGTCCTCGTCGGCGCCGCGGGCTACTTGGCGTATTCGTCGCTGAGCGTGCAGGGGCTCTCCAAGGCGCCCAACGACTTGATGACGCAAGCCGGCACCGCCAAGACGTCGTGGGAGACGGCGCCGATATCGGAAGTCCCGGAAGGCGAGTTCAGGCCCGCTTACCCGATTGCGTCGCCCAACCTACTCAAGAACCTCCCGGAGAAACCGTACAAAGAGCCAAGCGGCCTCAACCGTTCGGTCGTGCCACCGGTGGTGGACCGGACCGACCCGAAGCTGCTCCCCGCCACGGACTTGGAAGGGGGCGCGGTGACAGCGATCTTTGCGTTCGAGAGCAAAGAAGAGGCCGAGAAGCGAATCCGTGAGGAGCGCGCCAGAGAACAGCGTGAGAAGCTGGAGCAAGAGGCGGCGCGCGAACGCAATGAGGGTGAACTCCTCGGCGGTGGCGGACGCGGCGGTCGAGGCGGCGGTTTCAACGATGCCGGCGAGCCGACCGTGGACGAGAAAGGTCGCAAGATTCGCCCGATCCCCGGCGGAGCCGTGCAGGAGGGAGTCGTTACCGGGGGCTACGAGCGTTTCCAGGCGTCGTCGGTCGCCTATGTGCTCGCCAAAGCGCCGGTCCTCGATCAGGCCAAGATCTACGAAGAGGCCCTCCGCGATTCCAAGGGCTACAACCCGGCACTCGACGTCCCGCAGTACGCCGGCGTCATCGTCGAGCGTGCCGAAGTCACCGGCGATGAGGATGCCGAACTGAAGTGGGAGCAGGTCCAGTTCGGCGACGTGTCGGGCTCGAAGCCGCGCCGACCCTACTTGTCGGAGCGTTATCTGCTAGAGACGACCGCCGACTGGCTTCCCTGGCAGGAGCAGATCGTTGACGGACGCTATGTGCATCCGATCCTGACAATGCCGCTGCCGCCGCTGGTGCAACAGAATTGGAGTCCGGATGTCGTCCACAGCGACGCGCCGCTCCAAGCCGAGACCGACGCCAAGGCGGCGACCGCCAGCGCAACCGATCCCGGCGTCAACGAGCCGCTTCCCGAGATACGGGAAGGCGATTCGGGCTTCGGCCGGGTGGGCGGGACGGCCGGTCCCGGCGGCGAGTTCGGTGGCCGTGGTGGTCGCCAGCCGACGCCGCGCGGCTTTGGCGGGCGTGGTGAGTTCGGAGGTGGGGGCGAGTTCGGCGGGCGCGGCGGTCGCGGCGAGTTTGGCGGAGGAGCTTACGCGGGCCGCGGCGGCGGTCGTGGACCCGGCGCCATGGGCGACTTCACGATCGACCCGGACGTCCCCTTCGCGATGGTGCGAATCTTCGATTTCGGCGTGCAGCCGGGTCGTCAGTACCGCTACCGGGTGAAGCTCGTGCTGAGCGACGTCAACGACATTAGCCCCAGCACCGGCCGGCCCGACATCGCTGGCGCCCTCTCGTCGGAAGTAACCGCGCGGGTCCAAGGGAGTAGGAACCCCTACCTGCAGACCGAGTGGAGCGAGCCGAGCTCGATCATCTCGGTGCCGATGGCGGGTGACGCACTGGTTGAAGGGGCGAAGCTCCCCAGCGGCAAGTCGCTGCCTTCCGAGGGAACCGTCGATCTGCTGGTTCAGTCGTACGCGCTCGACGACGACCGCCGCGCCATCAAGGCGGGCGTCGAGGAGTCTTTCCGGATCGGCTCGGTGCTCAACCTCGTTGAGAACAC